GTAGTTGTTGTTGTTGTTGTTGTTGTTGTTGTTGTTGTTGTTGTTGGGATGTTGGTCGTAGAATTCGAAGTATTACTATAAGGGTTGTAGCTGTAGTTGTATACAAATCCTGACTAGGAAAGTCAGACCATTTTAATGCAAGTCGCGCCTTCACATCCAATGGACTAAGTTGGCCCAAAAGTACTCTAATATTTGAAGATGAAGTTAAATGTCTCTTAACCCACCCTCCTCAGCTCCAGCCTACGTTCTACCCACGGACCGTTGGTCTCAGTCGGCACCGGCCATCATGCCTAAAGAGGAGAGCATGATCGGCGGTCCGAGTAACGATGTCTCCAGTGCCGGAATTCAATCAAAGCAGACACTGGACAGTCTGTCGGATACAAAGGAGGCAGCAGGCGAGGGTAAAGCCGGTTCTGAGAGTGGAACCCTTGGAGGCGTCCTGTCGTCGTCGGCCAGCCTCGCCTGTCTAGTTGCCGGGGAGCCCAGCCCAAAAGTGTCGTGGACACGAGACCCGTTCAACAAGACTCTGGTGGAGGGAGCGCAGTTTAGGCACCGAGTTGAGAGGATACAGACTGGCATTTATTTGGCGACAGTGCGCCTGGCACGAGTCACTCCAGCAGAACTGGGCTTCTACTATTGCCACGTATATCACAATTCTACGAAACGTTTACATTTTAATATGAAATGTTTATTCTTCGCATCCTTACACTTTTCTCTTTATAATTACTATTAAGAAGAGCTTAGAGTTATGAAGGATCTGGTAGTTGAACATCTTTTTTCAATAGCATGTATTACACTTTGCCTGGTTTCTCGGAATGTTTTTCATTCAGGCTGGACCGTAGTTTCGACTTAGTATATCACCTTCACTCACAACGAGTTTCGAATCTCCGCCGTGAAAAGCCACTTCTCTGCATAGCAACAGGCTAAAATATGCCATAGGGTAGATGCGACCTTTAGAGCCATTCATACCTCTTAATTCTAACATTTGTAGATAAATCATCATTAATGAAAGTATTAATTTGCCATAACAATCGAGGCTGTTAGTTATTTTCTGCGTGAGTTTGCTTTAAAATAATCAGTCAATCTGGGTCAGTTACAGATATTAATAAACACTCATTTTATTGTGGTTAATACTTCAGTGGCAAGCTTTACTTATCTTAATCAACTTAGAGTGACTTAGTGATTATTTAGAATAGCTTTGGGTCTAAAAAGTTACTAACATTGAATGCAATTTCATTTATTAATAAGGCTCACGGAAAATTAAGTATTTGTCTAATTTATTTATTTCTTCAATTTTCTATTTCCACTGCTTTCTACGTTTGATCGAGCCTAACTTATATGCTGTCTATTAAGTAGCATGAGATCCAAGTTAGTTACAATGCTCCACCATTGTAATATTAAACCATTAATATGTTATAAATCATTTTAATTAATTTAATTTAATTACTTAATTTATAATTTTACTAAATTAGTAACATTAATTATATATATTATTTATTACTATTATGATTAATTTCTTAATAAAAACTATTGTTTTTATCATCAGTAAATTTTTCTTTTCCTTATTTTTATTTCTTGCCTATCTTTGCCCCTGTCAAATCAGTAATGTAACATAAAAGTCTATAACTTAACTCCTATATTGGTTAATTCTGCTTCGCTCTCAAAGTTGTTCTTTCCTATTTTTCTGTAAGACGCTTCTTGTTTTGCAAGTCTCCAATTCTTCTTATTCACTTGATATTTAGCTCTTCTGTGAGCCTTCACCAAAGGAGCCTCTCTGTTTGGATTAGACTAAAATATGTAGGCTCAGATGCCAGTTAGCGTATTTAGTGTAATGAGTATGCTGAAGCAATTATTTTTCTAAAATACCACATTTATAGCAAACGTATGTGTTAGCCAGTAGTGTTAAAATATACATCATTATAATAGTACAAGCCAGCTGAAAAGAGCGTAGATTGCGGCAATTCCAAAGGTTTCAATAAAAAGATCCCTTTATTTTTCGCAGAGAAAATAAAACTTAAAGTGGATTTCCCTATTTGGGCCTAAATACTTGTGGGAGAATGTATTCTACGACTGCCTGTGGGCCTAATTCTCCTAATTCAAAAACTTTTATTTCGGAATAGAAGTCCGCAGTGAATTAATCGAATTCCGTTTAGATTTAATTGGACAAAGCATACTGATACTTTATCACATAAAAACAAATTGTATGAAGGTAAGTATAAGAAATAGTCGATCGGCTTACATCCGTAATGAAGGCGCACCTATGAATGCTTCACGGATTCGCTTTCAACTCTATTTTGTACTACTAAATTAAATAACTGATTCTGCAAAAAAACATGCTCAAATTTGGAGTATAGTAGTATGGAGTTTCAATACTTGAGGATATTTCTTGCCAAAAATGTATCCATTATTTCGCTATAATTGGTGGTAGCATAAGGTCGCACTTGAAATCCCTACGATTTCAGGGCATTATTAAAATTAAGACAAAGTTTCTTTTATTCCCTCGCGCATGTCCACTATG